AATGGTTCCTCATAAAAATAGATAATCTTATTTAAGAGTTACAAACCATGTATAGTAATCCAGTACTAATTAAGTTGCTAACTAATAAGGAAATTCTTAACTGTATGTATGTTGACAGATGTCACATGTGAAAAGGTAATAAAAAATATAGAAGAAATTATGAGCATTGTCAGTTAACTGATGAGATAGTGTTATTAATCTTCTTCTATTAGTACATTGTTTTCTTTAAATAAAATTTACTTTATATTTTTTAGACATAGAGGGCCAGAATACAATGATGCAATCTTACGTACCTAGACTCTCGCTCAATACCTATACGTTTTCACAATCTTAGTCATTTAGATGCACACTTATTCAGACAAGAAATCGTAACTTGTTGTCCTGGATAACTTGAAGTCATCCCACAAACAGAAGAAAAGTATATTTTCTTTTGGGGTGGTCTTGTTACGGTTAATGTATTTTTTGACTTTTTAATTTCACTTTTATATTTTTGCTTATAAAATGTAAAATTTAAAAAATCAGTGTTACTTATTAAAAGTTTTTTACCTTTGCAACATTCACACCATAATATATCTAGCTGGTGAGTCAAATTGCTCTATTAATTAAATTTAAGACAATATTTCTCTAATAATTAGTTGAATAAAAACTCTGTGCACTGTTAAATTCCGTCAATAGGGACTCACTATTCATTAACTTTATTTAATGCACATCAGGCAATGGTCCCTAATAATTAGTCAAAAAGGTTATTGGTAAACAGGTAGTTGACATTCAAAGATATTAGTATGTAATTAGAAAGTAACTATAAATTTTTTAGTTTATATTTTTAATTTAAAACTGTTATTGATGGATGGTTTTGGAACATTAACTGAACTTTTACGTTTGTTGTAAATCGTTTTCACCAGAAAATGTGTGGTACTGTTAACTAGAGATCGGGAGGACACAAAGGGGCATCGATTTTGTGTATCTCCAGCAGGTCATAACACATAGTTAGAGTTGTATCCATGAGAGATAAAGCATTAGGATGATAAGTTTTAGAATGAAAACTGTCATTATTTAACTTATTAAAAGTCGATGAGATTTTTTTTTGTACAGAGTTCAACAAGTTTTCAAAAACAATTTTGTAGGTCAATTCGTCTGACAACAATTGGTGCATTTTTTGCGGAATAAACACTTTTATTTAGACACTTAGTTACGTTACCTATATCGACAGAAGTGAAAAATGTATCTTGATTTTTACCTAAAAAGTTTCTCGTAGTTCTCAACTTATCTACATATTCACAGCCCTAACAGAACTACAATATTTGGGTTTATATGCAATAAAAAGATGCTGGGAGAATTTTCGCGAATTACAGATCTTTTAGAAAACGATTCGTATTACAATTCTTGAACAATATCCAGGCTTATATCTTAAAACAAATGCTTTTTCTAAGTGAAATTATTGAAAATTTTAGAAATAGTTGACTGAAGGTTTACGCGATGGGTCCAGCTCACTGTTTTTGGGGACAATATGGGGTGCAATGCAAAAAGTTGGACCTTAATTTTATCGTTCCTGAAAATAATAAATTGTTTTAACAATGCATCAAATAGTACCTAAGCGATTACTACATAATGGTTTTGAATGGACTAAAAATATAAAACAGTTGCATAATTTTTGCAAAATTTCTAAAGACAGTGCTTATGACGATGTCTCAGAGATACATTTGGAATGTCCACAAGGATAAATGTAATATTTTTTATCAAAAATTCTTATTTAACAAGAATATTCTGAAATTATACTGAAATAGTCCGCTTATGTTTGGTTAAGTGCATTGAACTTGTCAAAGATCCATGTACATCTCTTTGACTATGATTAGATGATTTTCAAACTGCAAAATTACTATAAACGCTTATACGCTGTCACGGATACTTTGATGTATAAAGCGAACGATAATATTTACAAAATGATAAAAAAAAGACATGCAAGTGTTCTCCGCACCATATTAATCAAAAAATAGTAAATTGACGAAGCCCTCAAAAATTAGAAAAATTATTGAGTTTGTAAAAGATGAGTGCAATAAAATATTATATTTAAATTTGTCGGTTTAAGAAGGAAAATGTACAGTACTCTAATGAGAACTTGAAAATTACATTGGCTATTATCATAATGTTAGTAAAAATTTTAGACGAGAGCAAACAATTATTATATTTTATCATTTTAAAATTTATGTGGAGAAGAAAATTAAGCAGTTCTTAGTTCTAGCGATGATAAGCTACGTATGTCGACTATTGTACTTTACATTAAGGGCCATTATAATAGCAGATATAAAAGAAGCAAGGAATGAAGGAGAAATCGCGAAGAAATAGTTGATCAAGGAAATAACATTACACAATGGCTCATTCTAAAAATTCTTTTTTTCAAATTTTGGGGAAGACTACAGCAAAAAATTTAATGTATACGTGACCAAAACGAATACATGTAACAACTGTAGTCTGAAAAGAGCTGAGTCATTAGTACCTAGGGAACCATGTTATTATTAAATACAAAACGAAAAAGTAGAAACGTAAATGGAAGTAAAAAAGATAAGGAAATAACTATTTTACAAGAAATGCATAAAGATCACCTGATTCCAGAAAAATTATGTAAAGTAGTGAGGTTTCCTTATATATAAACTATGTACACTTTTTATAGATCAGTTTGATTCACAACCTTAACTTGTGATAGCATCATTAACCATCCAGTCATCAACTCAAAAAGTGTACAACAGCAGAAAAAATCAAAAGAGAAGTTCAGAGTTGACAAAACTGCAAGAAAAAAATTTTTTGAGAAAACTAAAGCATGATTCTAAGGTGTGCTAAATATTGTCAGTCAATATTTTTTTGTAGTTTTACTAAAACTATCCACGGTTTTAATTCGTTTATTTCTTACTCTTAATATAATGTAATAAATGGATTTTTATTCAATTAAAAAAATTGCATTTGCTTTCTACAAGAAAATATTTTTCTTCTCTATCCCTAGTTGTAAAAGATACTTTATTTATAGTCAAGTCCTTTCTATATTACGGATGTTTGATTTAGTAATACTAATTAAACTTGTTAGTGGAGAATTCCTTCTAAAAAAAAAATCAGTGAGTTGCCAGAATTTCTAAAAAAATAAGACAAGATGTTACAGCCTATTACTTGCAACAGCCTATTACTACTACTAATGAAATAGTTTTATATATATAATAAAATGCTGTGCATATAAAACATTTATTTATATTTACATGTAAAACAAAAAAAATACCAGTTATAACTTGTTCAATTAAAAAATTAATTTATTAAAAAGTAAATAACTTTTCTATACATAGTAGTCATTATAACTAATTTGATGCATTAATACACCTACTGTGGGTATCATCCAAGCGTAAACACTCGAAAACTTTGTTTCCTCGATAGCAGAAAACTTTTTTAACAAGGAAAATTCTTTTTCAAAGAAGTTTTCTCTTTATGATCATCTTTCAGGTGATGACCATAATTGTGAAAAATTTATTGTTTTTAACGTTATTTGACTTCTAATGCATTTTTTGAATGGCAAAAAGAATTGATTATAAATCACCACCTGAAATAAGTCACCTTTGCAGAGTGCTCTACATAATTATGGAAGGCTTGTATTGACTAACAACGCTAATGTTTTACGAACTGCAATAGTTAATAATGCTATTTGTGATTTGATTGGAGGAATATACAAACTTAACAGCATTAAACTACAAAAGTGTAAAAAATGTTGGCATAAGAATGTCAATAAAGGGTTGGGTTTCAAAGTATTCTACTCTTAATTCAATGCTGAAAAATACAGATTAGTTAGACATACTGGAGACAAGTAAGCTTATAAATGATTCAGATTATTTTGACGTTTTTGGATCTTTAAGTATAATACTGGGCTTTACCGAATGCACAATAGCACATGCATGTATAGGATGCGTCTGATAGCTCGTGAGACTATACATTTTCTCGTCTGAGATCTTGTGCAAGTATGTATACGATTACGCGAGAGTTTTCGTCCGTACATGTACACTCGCACAAAAGCTATTGCATGTGTTTATGCATTTTTATATGCAAGCACGTAAGCTTTTATTTTAACTCTTACACTACACTTTTGAGCACACCAGAATACAAAATCATACGTAGGGAGTAAGAGGTATGAGAGAGAGAAAGAAAGTCTTACAATACATAGTTTCCTTATCCCACTTTAGCTAGCCAAAGCATCTTGTACGATAGAGCTCATGCATATGATTTTTCTATCTACAAATTTGACTAAGGAGCGAGAGGGAAAGAGAGCACGTGTACGTGGCTTCTTTATCTATGAATCTTACGTGAATGACACAGCTCTGACTACACTGTCAATGAGACTTTATGGAATTTTTTATAAATCAAGGGCATTGAAATACTTTTGTAGATGAGTAGCATGTATTCGTTTCTAAAATTAATACTTTTAATAATAAATACACTCAAACTTCTATCTTATTAATAAATGACCCTACTTTCTTATACTTAATAATTTTTTATGACAATAGTTTGTAGCTACGTAAGATATATAAGAGATAACTCAAATTTTTTTAGAAATTTTAAAACATACGAAAAATTGTTTGAATATTCTATAGTCAATTCTCCTGTACACAAAGTGTTCCAACATTTCTCATCAATACTAAAAATTTTTTTTTGTTATTTGAAAGTGTCCTTTATTTTTAACAAACAAGTTTTAGTATCAAAGATTTTTTATTACAGCTGTTGGACAGATAGCCCACTTACTGAGCCTTGACCATACTATAAACGCTTTCAGTTATAATTATAGAATCAATGAATAGAGGGTGATGTCAAAACAAGTTTTTTTCCGGGCTCAAAAAAATAATGACTCGATTCATTTTTTTAAAAAACTTAATAGTTCCATTTACTTTCTTTATGTCAATTGAAAATTATATCTTTTACCCTAAGTTATCAAGTGTCTGTAGAGTAATTTTTGGACGTTAAAACTATTTGTATACCTTTATTACTTAAAAACTGCTTGCAAAAATCATCGAAACATCCGGAATAACCTTCCAATAATTTTGAGTGATGGTAAAACGAGACACAGACATCTTTTGGATTTCTAGTAACGTAAATTATTTTCGGTCTTTTTTCACAGCTTCGAATCTGTCGTGGTAGTAAATTAAAAGGAAGGTGAGTTTTTATGTACCGAGGCTTTGAGATCTTCCTACAGAATTCTGGACTGTTGGTGACCCATTGAGGAGCTTTGGTTTCAGGATCACGTAAAGCTATCCTTGCTGTCGTGATGACACCAGAAAATCTAAAAAAATACATCTATATAAAATAGTTCATAATATGCAGTTTATTATTATTTGATAAAAAACACGAAAAATGAATAACCTAGTTCAAGAAATAGCTTACATACTTAATCGTCTAAAAAAACTCTAAGCTACGCACTTGGCTCAATGAGTGTTATATGTTGTCAGTTGTTACTTAATTGTCTGAAAAAAAACTCTAAACTACAGAATTGGCTCAATTACTGTTTTATGTTGTCGATTATTGCTATTTGGCAGTGGAAAAAGTGGGAAACTATTAAAATATTATTTACTAGAAACCTTCAAAGTCTTTATTAAATTTCTATACAAAATACTCAAAAAATTGGCTATTGTTTGTATTTAAGTATATTATTTTGCAACATCTTGACCTAATCACTAACTTTCGAAGTTTCAGTTTCTTGACAGTATTTTTTGAAAGCTTCGAGCGCTGAGCTAATTTCTCGATCTAGGTCCTCAATCACTTTTTGTTCGAAAAGATTTGATTAAATAAATAATTACTTAGAATAGTTATTCTCTGTATTAATGTAACTTTAAAAAATAACAAAACAGAACTAGTAACAGTCTAGCATGATTTAGAAAAATTATTAATACAGATACTGTAAAATAATTTGGTATTTTTGTAGTATAATACAAGTACAATCCTTTCTTTACAAAAACTTGTGTTTTTACAAATAGATGAGTTTGGTAAATGTTTATAAGTCTTACACGTATAAAATATTTTAACAACTAATAACGTTTAGTTATTATCAAGTAAATAGAAGATTTTGGTTGATAACATTTATAACTCAAAGTGACTTTCCATTTAAATAAATATATATTTAAAAAACTGATATTTAATATAATGAAACGAACTTAAACCACAGCAAGTACTAGAAATATGTGTTTCTCCACAATCAGAATATTACTTAGTTTTATGAATAAATTTTACTTTTGTTATTTCTCTACTAAAATAAAATTATTGAAATGTATTGCATACTTTATTGTTATTATTTTTATTCTTATTAATTATCCTATATTTCATAAGTTTGTAAGGAACTATGTTATATGTCCTTACATGATAATACTATACGTGAATATGCTTTTTGTTTTAGTAATGTAATTTTCTTGGAATGCTTGATATTTTTTGAATGTTGCCGTAGAGATTATGATACATACAAAAATACACATTGAACATACAAATTATTAATACGATGCTATAATCACTTTAAATTTTCAACTTACTAATACATAGAGCTAAGTCGAAAAAACTGTTGGAATCACTAACGGCAAAAACTACTTTACTGATCTAGCTGAAATTTTGCATACTGATTTTTGACACTTCCTAGATGGTTTGAGTATAGTTTTTATCTTGAAAAAATTAATAACAATAGCAATAAATGAGCTCAAAGTTCTGTAAAAACACCCTAGCTTTTCATTTTAGTTCAGTGGGATCCACTAGGTGGCGTAAAAGTAAAATTGAAGCTACCTGCAATAGAATTAAGTAAGACTGATTATTATATCCCCGAGCAAAGTACCTAATACCACGGTCAATCATCAGCAGTGTATAGAGCGTAGAGCAGGGGGTCGTGCAGCTGGGTATCCTGGCTACCAACAACATTGTTCTCTAATGGACAACCGATTTATGTCAAAGTCCATCCTGAGCCACCATGATTGATGAATGCTACCAAAAAAAAGGTGTTTTTAGTGCTAACGTTTCTAGCAAAATTTCAGGAGATGTGTCTTGCCAAAGCAAAATCTGCTCAAGGCTACTTTAAGTATTAACGTTCCCGACTTAACCATTAATCTCATCGGTTCTTTTATGGGCCACCTTAATTAAAACTACCTTGCCAACAAATACATTGTTACTACCATTTCTGGTAAAGATTCGTGGACCAAAGGTTATATAAAGCCAGCCACTGTTAAACCAAGTCAACAATTCACTGGCAGACGTCATGAACGGAGTTTTTCGTTGCAAGGCTGGGACCCTTGGGGACCAACAACACTATAACTCCAAGGATTCAACCAGGAATCCCTGATCTTCTCCGAGGTCTACGCTGAGTAAACCTAACAGCTATGAAAAAGAAATTTTAACAAACGAGATAGTCTCCAACGGTCAAGCATCATGAACCAATCTTCTTACCTTAGATCATCAAAACAACTGAGTCGGCAAAACAAAAGATGATTTAGACACCAACTTCTTCAGCGTTATATCAGGAAATGTTGGGAAAGAAAGAGCTGTACAACTAGCTCCAACGCTTAAGACCTTGTAGTTTTCTCCCAATCTGTCTGGTGCTACAATTACCGGCTAGAATAGATCACTCTGAGGTATAAAGGCAGTCACGTTTGCTGGAAACTTCAGTCACGGAAAAGTTTACTTAAGAGGCCCACCGGTCCTTTTTAGGGTCATTAGACGTCAAACTACTACCTTACCAAAACATATATTAGAACTTAACAAAGTTGACAAAAAATAGCGTTTAGGGCTCACAAAAGTCTTAACCATGCCAAAAGTCACACAAGATCATATTGGAAGGAAAACTTCAAATGCATCTAATGTATACAATTTAAGGCGTCAAGAAACTGATGCAGAACATTTATTGATATTGAAGTGGCAGCAGTAAATTAAACAAATAAGGAGTGAGAGATCAGCTTATTATTATAATCCTTACAGTAATTCTTTAAGTTTTCCAGATTTTAAAATAGGTAGAATATGTATTTGTACGTTTGCAGCGATGAAAAATGTAGATATCAAGAGGCTGGGGCGATTTTGAGTAAAATGCTGGTAAGCTTCAAAATTAAAAGATTATATATAAATTTTACTAGATTTTTTTATGAAAAAAAAAAAGAAAGGTCAATACATTTATTTTCGAGAAAATTGTGTAGCACTTAGGAAGGGCAAACATAGTATGATATTAGCCAAACTCAATTAACGCTAGTAAATAGTTAGTCATGGGATGTGTAACAAAAATAAAATAAGTCTACTCAGGAGAAAGAAATATAATTTATGTTGGCCACCAGCAGTAAAGGACCGCTAAGTATTTCATCTTATATAATTATACTATAATTTACTATTTTCAGTTTTTTTGAAGAATGGATCATGGCACTTGAACTAATGGCTAAACTTTTACGTGATTATCTTCTTTAACTCTGATAATGGCTAACTCCATTTTGCTATCAGTACAAAAAATAATTCGTGAAATTTGAATTCTTTCTAATGAGTGACGATTTTACTTATTGAAGTGTTGATGTTGTACATTTATTAATTAAAGAGTTAATGAACATAATAATAATAAATGTATTTTCATATATTTTTAAGTTAATATTCCTTTTTTTATGCCAAATTGATTGACTTATAAAATAAGAGACTACTTTCCTTATTGAGGTATTATATTTAACCATCTATCAGATAAAAAATTAACTAACATACAAATTATTTCTAAGTACAGAGCTGATCGACATATGCCCTACGTAACTTTTTCTCTTATTAAGGTTTAGAGAGTAGTGAATTAAGCTGTGTAGTCTTTTTTTGAATAATTTTCAACATTAAAAAAAAAAACAATATTTATAATTAAAGTGACACTACCCAATTTATAAAAAGCTACTTGAAATAATAATTACGCTTATTGTATAATTGAAAAACTAATGAACAAAGTTTGTGAATAAAACAAACCCATAGCTCTTGTCTTACTATTTAGGTGGTTAAATAGTCAGCTGTTGATGCTAAATTCGCAACTGTGTCGATTGCTGAGTCGCTTTGTGTGCTATGCCTGTCCTGCACCTATGCCACCCAGTCAAAAATTATTATAATTTTACCACGCTAAATGTTGAAAAAAAATTTGACATCCAAATATATATAAATATATCGTACTCAATGCTAAACGTCAGATTTATTCTAACGCTAGTAATAAATTGACAAATCAATTTTTACATTGCACGGCCGGCTCTATTTGTATATACTCAGTTTTTTAAAAATTACTACATTACCTAAATGAACATTTTTTCACTATTAAAAATATCTTATTTTGTATGTTAACTTTATTTACAAGGGTCAATTGTAACACTCTTACTACTTTTTATTTTTTTTTTTAAATGATTCTGAAATAGGCACCAACTACTAAAAGTAGCTGCCCACTATAGTCAACATTGTTATGTGCATTTTATGGACAGAACCGAACTCTTTGCGACAAACTCTTCTCTCGAATGATTGCAATAACCAGTGCTCTTAAAGACTCGTAGCAACAGTACACTTTCAGCATTTACAGCTCCTGTAGTATGGATTGTCGAACACACTGTAACGTTCATCTTTCCAGTTACATGTACTCTGATTTCTCCCGAAAATCCCGACGGATACTAATCAAGATAATTTAATTTATTTTATGAATTTTGTTTCTTATTTTGCATTATTTATTTTATTCAAGTCATTTTATATTAATTATTTATAACCCTTCGATAAACTATTTTTCACAGAGCAGCGCACACGTTATTTAACTGGAAGTTGTCCTCTTTCTACGTCAGTCCGTGCGTCTGCCCAACTCACTCCCTCGATGCGGTGGCCGTATGCTTGCCCCATCTGCACATCTAAAACCTCATTTATAACACTACCTCCACTTTAGTGTACTGATAAACTAAGCTTAGGCATTTTTTAAGCAAAGGAACACTATATGCTGTAGTGTTGTAGAAAATCTAAATGATGTAATAAAATACACTTATGTACAAAATAAATAAAAAATAATAAACAGAAAACGTAGTTAAACTTTGTATTAAGTTGGCAGAACTAATCAACAACCACACAGATTTTTTGGTTTTCAATTGAGCCTTATCTTCCTCTAAGCTGCTCTACTTTTACATCTTCTTTGTCCCCACTCATGCGTGTTGGCGTCTCTTAACACAATAAAACAGAAAAAAAAACATATAATAAATTTCAACTCTTTTGTGCTTCTCTTTTACAAACTCTTTTTTCTTTGTTCATTCAAAAGTTTCACTCTTAGCTTTACATAAGAAGGGGTCA